CTCTCACTCTCTGCCCCCCCCCCCCAGTGTGATCCTAGTCTCAGACTCTTTTTTTAATACTGTCCTCAACAATAATCAGTTCTCCCTGTGCTCCAGTGTTGTCAAGGTTTCCCTGCCAATAATCCGACCAATGTCGGTTCTCTGTTTCAGCTGTGTTGCTGCGGTTGGACGACGCCCAGTATGAAGGCGTCCCCGTCCTTTTGCTCTCAGGGAAGATGCTGGATGAACGTGTGGGGTACGCACGTGTACTTTTCAAGAACGACATGTTCTGCCTTCAGAACGACAACAGCGTTCACTGCAAACCCAAACAGATCGTTTTCTACTTCGGCCACGGCAGCCTCCAGTACCCAGCGGTTCTGGTCAGTAAGACTTTGTTCAAGCCGGTTTTAGTGGACGGAGAATGGAAGGAAGTGACGGAGCACAGTAACGTCAAAGTTTTCGGTTCGCCGCTGTCAGACTTCTACGTCCAAACGCCCAAAGAACAGAGAGAGGCTTATTCAGAACTGATTTCACGGATCTATGCAGGAGAGAAGAACAGTTTCATCAGTGTTGAAAACCTGCTGGCCTCCTGGAGCGTCTGGACGCCTCTGCTCAGCAGCTTATACACTGAATTTCCTCGCATCTACCCTGGTGGCGAAGACAACGTGGATCTGCTGGACGTACAACTGAAAGGAAATGACATCAAGTTTAAAAGTGAAGTGGTGATAATCCGGCCCGATCAGATGGGGGGAACGTCGGGCGGGGGCTATCAGGCCATACACGGCAAATTTTGTGACACGGACATGGTTTCAGCCTGGACTGAGCAGCTGGTGGAGAAGCTAGCTGCAGACCTGCAGGAGGCGGCCGAGGCGGCGGTGCTCGAGAGCGGGGTTTTTCACCTGGCGCTCTCAGGAGGCTCCAGCCCCCTGGCTCTGTTCCACAGACTGGCCTTCCACCACTTCTCCTTCCCCTGGAGGTACACTCACGTGTGGATGGTGGACGAGCGCTGTGTGTCGCCGACCCAAGTGGAGTCAAACTTCTACCTGCTGCACAACCATCTGCTTCAGCATGTGAAGATACCGTACTTCAACATTCACCCCATGCCGGTGGAGCTCAACCGTCGTTTATGTGTGGAGGAGGACGGAGGAGCGCAGATGTACCAGGAGCTGATAACCCAGCTGGTGAACGGTTCCAGCTTCCACTTCGTACTGCTGGGCGTGGGCTACGACGGCCACGTGGCCTCCCTGTTCCGTGGGACTGAGGTGGAGAAACATGGGGAGCAGCTGGTGGCCCTCACCGAGAGCCCGACCAAACCCCATCAGCGCATGAGCCTCACCTTCACTGCCATCAACCACGCCCGCCGAGTGGCTCTTCTAGTCATCGGTAAACAAAAACACGAGCTGGTCACACAGCTGAGCCGACTGAAAAACGATAAAGACAGATACCCTGTCACCAGAGTGTCGCCCTCACCTGGAAAATCGGTGTGGTACATGGACTATGATGCACTTTTAGGATAAAGAGTTGTAAAAACTGTAAATGCCTTAAAACTGTTAATGTAATTCACAAAGTGCTTACAAATAAAAATATATATTTTGGATTGAATAACTTACAATAAGTGAAGTTACCAGACGACGTCTGACGTCACTGCTGTTTGACACTGGACCATCACATGTAGATGGCTGTGACACAACCTACAGGGAAAAAAATTTCATCAGGAAAAAATAAAAATCTGAGACTTTCCTTCCTCTTTGTGTCGACATCAGGAAAAAACAAAAATAAAACTCTGAGACTTTCCTCCCTCTTTGTGTCGACTACTGTGTGATAACTGTTGGTATTCCACTCCTGTCACTGGGTGCTCTCAAATATATAAATATATACACATATATATACATGTATACATACATATATACACGTGTATATATATATAAATATATATATATACATATACGTATATACACATATACATATATCTACACATATACATATATCTACACATATACATATACATATATACATAAACTTAACTTAGTTAGTTAGCTGCTATCTGAGTGACTAGACATGAACTGTGCGCCTGTACTCAGATAGCAGCTAACTAACTAAGTTAAGTTTATGTATATATGTATATGTGTATATACGTATATGTATATATATATTTATATATGTATATATATGTGTATATATGTATATATATACATATATCTACACATATACATATACATATATATACATATATAAATATATATACATGTATACATACATATACATATATATACATGTATACATACATATACATATATATACATATATATATATGTATATATATGTATATATGTATATATATATTTATATATATGTATATACACATATATGTATATGTGTATATATGTATATTTATATATATACATATATAAATATATATACATGTATATATGTATATATATGTATATGTATATATGTATATATATGTATATGTATATATGTATATATATGTATATATATATATACATATACGTATATACACATATACATATATCTACACATATACATATACATATATATACATGTATACATACATATACATATATATACATGTATACATACATATATACGCATGTGTATATATATATACATGTATATATGTATATATATGTATATATGTATATGTATGTATACATATATATATATATTTATATATATATATACACATATATCTACACATATACACATATACATATATCTACACATATACACATATACATATATACATATACATATATATACATATATATACATATATACATGTATATACATGTATATATGTATATATATATTAAAGATAAGCTGTTTAATAAACAAAGTCCTCATTAAATTCTTTGCCACAGTCCATTTCATTAATGTTTGAACAGGTTAGTTAGTTAGCTGCTATCTGAGTGACTAGACATGAACTGTGCTCCTGTACTCAGATAGCAGCTAACTTAACTAAGTTAACTAAACAAAGGTTAAGACATAAAACCAGACCTCATTCTACACAAGCACAAAATGTCTGCCTTGTACCAACAGAGAGCTTGTACTCACAGAAAGAAATCCTGTCACGGGTCCGTGCACAGTGGTCAGTGGTGGTCAGGGAAGTGGACTTGGGTCCAGAGGGTTTCAGGTTAGAGTCCACCAGTTGCCGAGTTACCACTGAGTAAAAACAGAAGTCACATTACGTCGTGTTCTGTGTCACAGTTATAAGTAGTTCACATTTTTAGACGTGTGTTTAGTGTCATTATCAATGTCAGGTTTAAGAGATCGTTTAACGAAAACACTAAAACCAACATGGCCGATTAATAAAGTACTATTTCTGTAAACATTATTTATACTGACGTGTTGTTCGGCTACCAGGCTAAGGCCATTTGTTGAACTGATTTACAGTTACGCTTCGTTCGCGCTTCTATTTTGTCGACTTCCGTAGCTGCCGGTAGAGGAAATGACGTATCTCTGTGTTGCTACTACTTACAGACATATGCGTGTAGACATATACGTCACCGCGGAGGTTTTCAACAACTTCCTGGTAGAACTAACATCTTAGCGGTGACATTTTACGAAGGGAAGAATATCGGTCTGACTGACGGTCGGTTTTCAATACCACAGACATAATAAATATTATTATGTTTACGGTTTAAACTTTAAAGCACAAGACGTTTTGCGTCGTGGTTTGTGAATCGAGTCTAAATTTGGCTTAAATGCTGCTTAACATTGAGCAATTGACGTCCCTTCTCAGCAGGAGGCGCCAAAACACCGTTCCAAGTTGGTTCTACAAATCTACAAGTTGTAAGATAAATATGACATTGTACTACCTAGCGGTCACACGGGGGCAGTCGTTGACTACACTGTGTTGTGACGTGAAGTGCGACTCCTGTTGGTCAGTGTTGGTCACTACTTACCGGTACGGTGCATGAATCAGACCTTTCATCCTCTGGTGGTGCGGCATACTTCAGCTGTTTCCTGTCATTGCCATGAATGCAGCTCTACCTCCAACAGAGCAGGTGTTCCGTTTGGCCAAATAGTGACGTCATTGTTGTGGACCACACCGACAGTCACCTTCTGGACTCTTCTCTCCTTCATGAAGAGCAGAAAACATCAAAGTCACATCTGACATTCACATTCTTTTTATTTTGTTTTTCTAACGTTAAACCTTTAATTTTACAATGTAATTTGAAAAATAAAATTCCAGTCTTAATTTAACGACTTTTTCTTCACTTTGACTACATTTTAAAAAGTTTAATTTATATAAAACGTGTTGAAATGACTGAACTATGGCCAAGATGATTAATACTAACGCCACCTTGGGGATTTTTAATAAAATGTCAAATGCGGTCCTAACAAATGAGAAAGGCTTTTGTTTGATGAAGTATTAGGGACATGAGGAGAGAAAATAAAATAATTAGAGCATAAATTTAGAACTTTATGACAAAGTTTAAGACAAGAAAGTTTTAAGTTTCTGAGAACAAAGTCTTAAGTTTAGGTTTTACATTGTTTAGTGCAGTTGAAAAAATAAGATATAACTTAGAACATTGAAAAGTTTTACAAGTTCCCATAAACTTTGAAGAACAGTCTGTCTTTGGTTATGATAGATAGTTGTAATTTGTCCCTTTTTTCTTAAAGTTTTACCTTTTTTTATCCTCTAATTTTAGTGTTATTTTATGTAACATTACATCATTATCCTCCTAAAAAATACAACCTTTTTATTTCTTATTTCTCATACCTTTAAGACTTGTCTTTTAAAATTATTACTTTCTAACTTTTCCTAGTTTCTCTTTATGTCTTGACTTAAATTCTAGTTCTATTCTATTCTATTAAATTCAATATTGTGACTGTTTTTCTTCTCTTTTTTTTGACTCAATAATTAATACTAATAAAGTTTGTTTACCTGGTGATCCAACGTGATGGTCTTTCCTGGACACAAAAAAAACCAAAAATCATCAGTTCATAGTTTCATGAACTTAAATCATTCACATTGTGTTTTCTTTGAATTAAATTTATACAAACAACATCTGAAAGTCTCTCTGGAGTGCAGCTAACCTGAAGCACGCACTGACTTTAACAGCTGACCTTTCTGATGTGGCTTTCATTAATCACGTTTTTCTTACCACAAAATTGTCGACCAACACCCGTCGAGTTTCGGGAAGTCTGTTTTGTTTGTGGTCGTCAGACTGGCAGCAGGAACGACCGGACTGGAGCCCCAAAAAAAAGTAATTAACCACCACATTAAAGGTAAGACTTGAAGGTCACATTTGCCCCACTTTATGACAACATGACACACACACACACACACACACACACACACACACACAAACAGCTGTAATGGCTGTGATCACACTGTGGAAACCTCCCATGTTGGCTGGACACTGTGAAAGGTAAATAGTAAACAGGACGAAGTATCCTTGTGTGTGCGTGTCAGTGTGTGTGTGTGTGTGTGTGTGTGTGTGGCAGCTTAAAGAGAGAATGAACCCATGTGGAGTGTGCTGGCCCAGCTGTCACTGCTACGACTGCAGACATGAGAGACCACAGGATGCAAGCTGGAGGAACACTGTGTGTGTGTGTGAGTGTGAGTGTGTGAGTGTGTGAGTGTGTGTTGTTGTCACTCCACACCCCCGGGCATTCTCTACAGCCCCTCTCTTCCTTCCTCCCCTTTGTTCAGCCTGCGGGGCAGACTTGGTCAAGCTGAGCACACAAGCCAATGCATATGAATGTGTGCTGTCATCTTTATGGGGGGGGGGTTAGTGCAGGGGGGGGGGCTCCCCCAACAGTCATTAGATTTAACACAGGTCTTTACTGAAATTCACTTTCACGCTTTCCTCTCTCTCTCTCTCTCTCTCTCTCTCTCCTGCCAGACGAGGATTACAGTGACCTCAGGTTGAATACACAACCTGTCACACACTAATACGGGAACAAAAGCAATCAGCAACAAACAAAGGCTCACTTTGAATGACTATTCCCCAGAGTGGTTCTGCGGCTGGTTATGATTGTTATACGATATGTACCTTTAAAGGCCCGGTTAATTGGAGGTTTTGAATTTCAAAGGTGAGGCCCTGCTGCCAAACGACTCTTCCGTTAATATCCTACGCTTCTGCCCTTACCTGCAGACTTCATTTTTCTTCTGCTGTCGCTCTTTGATGCGTGAGGTCAGCGGCGATGCAGGCGGCGATGAGTGATCGTGGGCGAAGCCACAAACAGATTCAGCCCATGTGTTCTGGAGGAACACCGCGTGTTTTTGGAACCACATTCTCACCTTTCATCTGGTGGGATCAGAAGATGAAGACCTGTCGAGGCACGCCGCTGCTTTTGTTTCTGAACGCCAGGCTGCACACAATACATCTGACATTATACAACAGACGGTTGAATTCCACTTCCCAGATGTGGCATTAAAACATTTTAAAACAGGCAGAGACGCAGCGGAACTTTACAACAAAGTTTTTAAATGTTATATCCAGACGAAGACTTCTCTGTGGAGACTGTCTCTTTAAATGACTAATGACTCATATTTTTACTGTATTAGCTCACAGTAGACTAAATAAATACCTGGTTTGCTTTAATGATCCCATATAATCTCCTACAGGTTTGAACAGGAAGTTGGACAGGAATCTTCAATCCATTCAAACCATTTTATATAGAAAACAGTTGAACGGGGAATTGAACCAGTAACCTGTAAAAAAACAGACAACAATTAACATGACGACATATGAACAAACAGACAATTAACATGACGACATATGAACAAAACCAGACAATAATTAACATGACGACATATGAACAAAATGACATGTGGACTGAACCACAACATGTACCTTCACCACCAGATGCTGCTAAATCCCACACAGTGTACCTTTAAATAACATCTATTCTCTGATGGTGAATTTAAAAAAAACAATGTGGTTTTTTTTTTTATATTGTCATCACAACACATCGTTCACCATAAGTTCTATGATGTGGTTTCAGTTCATTTTTGGTGAAAGAACAAGTGTGTTTTCATTGTTTGTGTTGAGGTTTAGCCAGGAGTGAAGAGAGGAATTCACCTTTCACTTCCCACTGGACCCAGAACAGAGGTGCGATTGTTGAGCAGAACTATCTGAGAGTTTCATCATCACATTGGGATTGGATTTTACCTGGAATCAGATTTGTTCACGGACCACACACACACATTTAGTGACAAAAGTCAGATTGAAATCAGGAAATAAAGATAAAAAAAAGTTGTTTTGATAAAATTTAAAGTTTCTTCTTGACCTACAGGAACAGTTCCAGTCTGCTTCCACACGTCTGTGACAGTTTCCAACTAATGCTACGATGCTACGATGCTACGTCTTCTGTAAGGTCGAGGAATTCGATGGTGTGAACACAACACTACTGTGTCCAAACTCTGGTTAAAAGGTTCTGTTTTAGGTTCTGGTACCAGGTTCTGGTTATTGCTGACACTTACACTACACTATACCAGCCTAGCCTAGCCTAGCCTAGCCGCTGCTGCTGTGGCTTCTGTTTGTAAATGTGGATTTCTGTCTCATGCTGTCAGTGATCGGTGTTTTAGCGCCACTGACGGCTGCTCATCAAAATGCCGACACAGAAGTGTGGATCCATCATTTCTTAACAAGGGTTCGTGGGCCCCTCGCTGTGAGTGGGCTGAAAGAGTGGGCGCATTGCATTCTGGCTGTATACAAAAACTCCCCGGCGCTTTCAAAGTGGTCCACCTCTGTGTTTGCTGACACCACCAAAAGTGTCAGGAGAGCAGGGGGGAAAGGGGGGGGGTGAGGGGATCAGGATCTGAATGACATGGCGTTGCTGCAGCGGCTGATGTTCAGTGACCCACAGAGTCCAAGCCCAGCCCCCAGTGTGAAGTACTTTTGTCTTACCGCTGCCCTCAGAAGCCCTTGGACCAGAGGGGAGGAGGGAGGGAGGGAGGGGTATTCGGGTATTCGGGTACCCGCGGGGGCGAGCGCTGTGAGGCCGCGGTCCACTCTCCACTCTGCAGCTCGACACATGCTCTGTTAGGTGAATAAAAAGAAGCCTGTATTGTATTGGAGGCATTTGCATACTAGTGTGTTAGAGAGGGTGTTAACCTTTGACACCGTGGAGGAGTGTGTGACAACAGAAACCACTCGTCAGAGTCTCGGCGTTAGCACAGTTGAAAATAACACCTCAGCGTGTGAGTGTGGAGCAGAACCGACAAGGACTGAAGATAAAAGACTGTTTCAGTTGTTGGATCTGGAAGTTTCTCTCAAGTAGTCGAGCGTTTTCAGAACTGAGTGGATAAAGATCATCTCAGGAGAGCGCCCTCTCTGTGTGGAGCCTGAAAACAACAAAGACAACTGTTGAATGTTCTGAAGGAGAGGGAAATATTTGTGTTGACACTTCACATCAGTGATTCTCAACCTCTGTGCCGTGGCCCACTTCTGTGGCGTGGAAAATGATTTCACTTAATTAGGCTGAAAACTATTATTTATTTATTGCATATAATTTTACATCAAAACATGAAAGGCAGAATAATTAAATCCTCTTCTGCTAGGTGGCAGCACATGGCTATGAAAACTAAAAAAAAAGATAATGAAAGATCTTTGTGAGTGTCTTTCTTTAATTTCTGCCACTATGTCACGTTGTCTTCAACTAAACAGGCTGAGATTTGAGTCAATTATGAGGTCATTTAAACTAGAACATTATTATATTTAATTCAATTGACTTTTTGTTGGGTGGTTGGAAAAAACAGTGCTTGACATGAGTGGCTCTGAAATAATTAAATTATTAATGTTAAGGTAAAAGAAAAAGAAAATCTTTTTTTAAACTGAGACCTTCACAGTGACAAACTCTGATGAATATTTTTTCCTGCAGTACAACCTGATCTCTGAGAGGTGAAAACGTCTGACTGTGTTGTGTTTAAGGACCGTGTGTGTTTGTCTGACTGTGTTGTGTTTAAGGACCGTGTGTGTTTGTCTGATTGTCATCCTCAGGTCACAGTGTCATAACTCAACCCACACTTAACTTGTTAATCTGTTTTTTTGACCAGAATTACTCACTCTGTCCGTTGTATGATTAATGTCCGTGGTCGGTAACTTTGGACGAGACAATGTCCGCCTCTTCAGTTGATGTCGGGGGATCCTCTGTCGGGGGGAGGCGGGTGTGATTGGTCCTCAGCCTGAAGCCTCTTCTCTCCGAGTGCACGCCGCTGCACAGACGGGCCTTGACTCTGAAATTCCAACAGATAAGAGTTGCTAGGTGATACTTCTGTCGGATCTTCATTGTGGTCACATATTCATACCCAAATTGTTTGGTTCTTTTATGAGGAGCGCCTCATTAGTAGTCATATATTCATACCAGACCACCCCCCCACTTGACCCCTTCTTTACCACTCGTGGGAACGACGTCCAGGAGGAGAGGAGGGGAAATCCAGGCGATTATTTAGAGGACGGTCAGCAGGGACTGTCCGACCTAAAGACTGTTTCACTTTGGAACGTTTGGACCTGAACATATTGACATGGTTAACATTTAACAACAAACACAAAAACCCAGCATCAAAAAGGTTTCTCAAATTAAACACCAAACGGTTTCAAAACTATTTTTCCCAAAGGATTGTTCCAAAAAAATTTCAAGAGTTTTCCAAAAATTTTTTTTTTTAAAAAAACCTTTTTCTGAAAAAAAATTTTTTTTTAGAAAATTTTTTTTGTTTTTTAGAAAAAAATTTTTTTTAGAAAATTTTTTTTGTTTTTTAGAAAAAAATTTTTTTTAGAAAATTTTTTTTGTTTTTTAGAAAAAAATTTTTTTTTAGAAAATTTTTTTTGTTTTTTAGAAAAAAATTTTTTTTCGAAAAAAAAAAGATTTGTTTTTCTGAAAAAAAAAAATTTTTTTCTAGAAAAAATTTTACAGAAAAAAATTTTTTTAGAAAATTTTTTTTTTAGAAAATTTTTTTTTTTAGAAAAAACATTTTTTTTTTTTTTAGAAAAAAATTTTTTTTAGAAAATTTTTTTTGTTTTTTAGAAAAAAATTTTTTTTTAAAAAAAAAATTTTTTTTAGAAAATTTTTTTTGTTTTTTAGAAAAAAATTTTTTTTCGAAAAAAAATTTTTTTCTAAAAAACAAAAAAAATTTTCTAAAAAAAACTGTTTTTCTAAAAAAAAAATTTTTTTTCTAAAAAATAAAATTTTTTTTTTCAAAAAAAAAAAAAATTTTTTTTCTAAAAAAAAAATTTTTTTCTAAAAAACAAAAAAAATTTTCTAAAAAAAACTGTTTTTCTAAAAAAAAAATTTTTTTCTAAAAAAAAAATTTTTTTTTTAATTTTCTAAAGTTTTCAAAAAAACATTTCTAAAAAATTCTCAAATTTAGAAAGTAAAAAGATTTTTACAAAAAAAATTTTTCAAAGGATTTTTCCAAAACAAATTCAAAAGACTTTTGGACTTTTACATGTTATCATGTCTGTTTAAACATATTTTTGTTGAAAAACAATGACAATGACACAGAGGGACAAAAAAAACGGTTGCTAAATTCTGAGACGTTGAGTCTAGTCACAATAATGACGGTTTGTGTTCTGGGTGTTTCATCTTAGTCATAAATGATTCATGGACGGAGTTTAATCTTCCTGTTAAACTTGACATTCTTGATAAATGATTCCCAAGGTTTGCCAGCTGCTGTTAACAGTGACCAGCAGGGGGAGGATCAGAATCAGCTCCCAGCTGACTCTCAGGGGAGTTTAAAATTAAAATAAAAAGTTTTAGTTTTTGTTAAAGTTTTTTTTTATCATATTAGTTTAGTTAATTTGATGAACTTAACCTAGTCTTAAGTCAATTATTAAATATATATAATTACCTTTAAAACTATGTTTATTTTACAGTAACACAAAATATAAAAAGATTTTAAAAATTCGCAGTAATTGTTTTGACTTGAGCAGCTGTTATATTTCCTTGTCACATATTTCACACACAGTGACACGGCGGTTTATGAAGGCCTCCATTCTCCTCAATGAAACAGGTGCGGTGCCGTACGTGTAGCCCCGCCCCCTCGGTTACCATATTTGGCTAACTTCCCCATTCCAAAGGGCGGTGGGCGGGGCGATGACGCCACCTGTTTCTGAATGGGCTGCGGACTTGTGCTCACTCAGCCGGTACAGTCAAGTATTTGGAGAAGTGGAGTCGGAGTGGGACGCACGGAGACGGGCCGTGGGACAGAAAACCGTCCAGTTACTTTAAAACGCAGAAGAAAAATGGAGTTTCGCCGCTTCAGTCCCGTCCTGTTTCTATTTGTCAACCAAGTGTTCGTCAGTCTGCAGTCGAAAGAACGTGAGTAGAAAGTTTTTTTTTTGTTTTTTGTTTTTTTACGCGTTGAAACTGAGAGATTTCGAGCGACCTCACCTCATGAGTCAGGAGGTCGGAATCTGATCCAACTGTAACTGTTTTACTGTTGATAAACTCCAGTGAAGAAGAATTATGTTTGTTTGAAAATGTTGCGCGTTTGAAAAAAAAAAAAACAAAGTAAAGTTTTAAGTTTTATCGTTGAACAAAACAATAATAAAATTAAGACGTAAGTCGGATTTTAGGACTTTTACTAGTAAAACGTTTTCACTTATCGTTGAACAAAACAATAAAAAAATTAAGACGTAAGTCGGATTTTATGACTACTTTTACTAGTAAAACGTTTTCACTTAGTTGTAATTGAATTTTTTAATTAAAAAATTAATAATTCTGGTTACGGTGCAGTCACGGGATGGGGAGGGCGGAGGGGGGGGGCACCTGTACAATGTCTGAACATGTCATGAATTTTTTTTCCGTTTCACTTCCACTTTACATTCGTGTATTTTTGCCGTCACGGTTGTTAAGGAGCCCACGCCTTTCCCAGACAGCACTGGTGTTGTATGCGTGCCGGACCTGGAGGACACGGTTATTACAGTCCTGAATCACACGGACATGCCTGATTAGACCGTCAAAGCCTGGCATGTGCCCCCCATCAAACATTCGGCCCCGCGAGATTAAGGCAGAGGGTTTAAGACGGTGTAATCCCGTATTACAAGAGTTTAATAAAGAAATTTAAATCTCATCACAACAACTGGACTTTTAAGATTATTTTTTTTTAAATTGTTAAATTATAAGTAATAAAGTAATAATAACCTGCCGGTTACATCAGGTGCGTTACGTGCCCGTTACTACAGCGTGTCACATGTGTTTCTGTTTTTCTTCCCAGCAGAAGTTCTTCTGGACATGAGAGCTTCAGGATCAGAGCTGGGCTGGCTGACGCTGCCAAATGAGAATGGGGTGAGTATTAATACCTCGAGAGGCTCAAGATTTCAAAGCCGTCCTCCGCTGTGGTTCAACAACTAAAGAAAGGGACAAGCAGCTGAAGATCACTTCGGTCCAAATTCTGTTCGGCAACAATCACAGACTCCGTTTCCGCTCGCCTCGTCCCCTAAAAAAAGCTCTTTGGTAGTGATGGAATGAGTGGCAGCTCAATGAGGTTTGGCAGGGCAGAGCTAGCCTCATGTTAACGCTACCCTTTCATAAAGGAGTTATGAATGCCATTAAAATGTCACGGCTCATCGTCAGCTCTCTGGATTTACAGCACCAAAGTGCATTTTGCACAATCATAGTTTTCATTCCGACTCCGAGCCGTGGAACTGAACGTTTGGACGCGTGTCCTGGTCCGGAGTCCGCTCTGGGCTTTTTGAGATGACCGTGGTCGGGGTGACGTGTAGAGTAGGAGGACGTGAGTCAAAGGAAAAAAGAAAGAGTGGAGAACCATCCCTCTATCTAAAGTTCAGTGGCTTTCCTTCTAAATAAAGTGACCACCTCCTCTGTGGGCCACCTCCTCTGTGGGCCACCTCCACTGTGGGCCACATTTCTTGTGTGACATTTTCTCAGAAGATCCAAGGATATTCTGTTTCCACCGTTAGGATTTCCCCTGGTCTTTACAGCGATGGTTTATGACACTTCTTTATGTCTATATATACATACGTGTATATGTGAGTGCGGTTGTGGCCGCGGTCACGTCTACTTTCCAGAAGCTTCCTGAAAAAACACTGGAAATGGAAGTCATTTTAGATTCGGGGTTTGATACGTCAAAATATAATATATAAAGTTGTTTTTTTTCCCCCACTTTAGTCTTCGGTTATTTTCCCTGAAGTTTACGTAAATCACAGCTGAAGTAGTTCTGACCTCAGGTGGAGCGGTTCTACTCATAGGAAGTGGAATATTATTGGATGGATTTGTTGACTCAGTCTGAACTGCGGCGATTATAAACTTCATTACAGCCTCATTAACATGAGCTGGTGTTGCACAGTAGCATTTACTGGGTTAATGTGTGACTAACTCACTGGTGCCCCCCGGTGTGCTGGTTAAAACCACACACGTTGTGAGCGCAGCGCATGTCCAGGCCGGTGATCTGACGGTGCGGAAAAAAAGCTGAGGCTTTATGAGCTTCTCACTCGGCATGAAAGACTGGATGTTTCATCAATGAAACTGAAGGAACAAAGGCGCCGAAGCCTGTACTTACACCCCCCCACACCCCCCCCCCACCCCCAAAATGCCTTCTTGCCTCTCATTATTGCAGTAGGGTTAGAGACTGATCCTTCTGTCCTGTGTCTTCTGTCCTGCAGTGGGAGATCGTTCAAACCGTGGTCAACAGCTCACTCTTCTACACCTACAGCGTCTGTAGCGTAGATAACAACGAACAGGACCACTGGCTGCGGACCACCTTCATCCAGAGGCATCCTGGGACGTCACGCGTCTCCGTGGAGCTGCAGTTTGTCGTGCGAGACTGCAACACGTTCGACGGAGCCTCCGTGGCCTGCAAAGAGACCTTTAACCTCTTCATGTCCGAGGCCGACGACGACGTTGGCACCAACTTCCGTAAAGGGCAGTTCCGCAAAGTGGCCACCATAGCGCCCGATGAGGTCACCAGGGGCCGCGTGCTGAAGGTCAACAAAGAAACGAGGAGCGTGGGGCCTCTGTCCAGGAAGGGCTTCTACCTGGCGTTCCAGGATTTGGGCGCCTGTGTCGCCCTGCTGTCAGTGAGAGTGTATTACAAGACGTGTCCGTCCACGGTGCAGAGCTTGGCGTCCTTCCCGGAGACAGTGGCGGACGCCCTGAGGGAGGTGGAGGGAACCTGCGTGGAGAACGCCGTCAGTCAGGCCACCCCACGCATCTACTGCACAGCCGAGGGCGAGTGGGTGGTTCCCGTGGGCCAGTGCCAGTGTCTGCCCGGCTATGAAACCACGGGGGAGTCGTGCCAAGGTAAGAGCTGCCAGAAGTCTGCCGTTCAGTCAACACAGGCATGTCTGAGTCGTAGCAAATGAAACGCCTCCCACGGCAACTTCTCAAACTGAGAAATGAGCGCAGAGGAATGTTAATTGTGTGTGGCTTGTTTAGAAGCCGGCTGGAAAAACACACGGTATCTGCCGCGGTGTGGGTCCAGTGGAGCAGAACTTCACGGCAGAGGAGGAGCAGAGTCCAGTCCAGTCTTTAAAGTGTTGTTTGTTTTGCTGAGATTTGAGGCTGAGATCAACAACGACATCATGGGATAAAAACAAAAACAAACAAAGAAACTTCCAGCAGTGTCTCATCCAATATCACCTGTTTGCCAGAACATTCTTTCCACTGTCAGCACTTAGGAATGAGACTGGGCTGAGACGCAGGTTTATGGGAAGACCGAAAAAAACTAAGATGTGACAAAGATGTCGTTTTAAGTTTTCCAAAATATAAAAAACTAGTTTGTTATTTAGCTCTTAAATACAACAAAATAACTTTAATTAATCAACAGTGGCCACTAGTGGTGAGAATGTTTGTTCCATTAATAACAGTGGTTTAACATTAAAAGGAGGCGTTAAACTATTTTGTTATTGGGATAATATTTTAAATTATTATTTACACCGTCACTACCTAACGATACGTATCACGGTACAGGGGTAACGATACGACATACTGCGACATACTGCGACATACTGCGACATACTGCGACATACTGCGATACTGTAGGTACGACGATATACGTACGACGCTGAGACAGAGTCTTCGTACTGTACATGCGCTGCTGCTGCTGTGTGTTCAGTGTGTTGGCATTTAGGGTGTGGTGTTGTGAAGAGTCTGTAGGAAACGTGGGAGGAGAGAGAGGGTACTGAAAGAAGAGGAAGGGGGGAGGGAGGGGGGAGAGAGGGGGGAGGAAGGGCATAGTTCGCCCGGGGGATTTCTGAAAGGAATTCTTTTAGCCTCACGTCAACCTGCGTCCCTGATTGAGTAAAAGGAAGGGCCGTGTGAATGTGACAGTTTGACTACCTGAGCGGTGTCTTCCATCTCGCAGGAATTTGTTTTGTGTGAGTTGCCACGACGACACAAACCACAGATTACAGGGATGAGGCCGCGCACCTCCCAGAGGTTAGTGAGTCAGGCTGTGGTTTATGACTCCTGATGGTCCGAGTCACCTTGACTGGAAGACTTCTGGTTCACTCTGTGACAAGGAAACGACAAAGAGTTCATTAGAAAACTGATCAAAACAAAACTGGGACTTCACAGGGTTAGAAAAGTATCGTTTGTTTCTTTCATAAATATTAATCATCACTGATCGTAAATGGGTTTTTATTTTTTTTGTGATTGCATATACTACAGTATTAAAAATAAAAAACGATTTTTATATATTTTTTTTAAATATTCTAGGATAGGGAGGATAAATAAGTGATATTCCGTAACAGCCTTCAGAGGTTTCCAACACCTGGCCCGGCTGACGTTGTCAGGCAGGTGTCCGGAGGAAGATTACATATTTTTGTTTCACACAAATCTGCTGCTTCAGAAGTCGAGCGTTGACCTGGTTATTTAGACTCAGGAAACCTGTGTCCATTAATCACCGAGCCTCTCTGCCGTAGCCCAAGGACTTTTTTTTTAGCCGACTGTAGAAAGTGGCCTGTGTGTGGATTCCACCCAGGAGCCCAACTGTTGTGGGAACAGGAAGTAAAGTGAGA